TCTCTGTCTCCCCCCCAACCCCCACCTATCTCCTTCATATTGTAATACCAGGTTACAATAACTACATAATTTTAAGTGTGAGGACAAGGTAATGTCTCCTAAGTTCTAACTGATTCCCTCTTTGTGGGTGTCAATTCTGGGCTGGATGCAGAACTCATTATGGATTCAATTCCCAGACTCTTGGACTTCACTTGGCTTCTTTCAAATCTAATAAGGTCATTGTCACCAGATTACTCTCCTTCCCATGAAACAGCAAAGCAAAGGATGTATACGTGGTCTATATGTTGGGCCTTTGTGAACAGAGGCAAAAGCTTCTTCTTCTCTTACAGCATTGTCTCTCCTTTCTCCTCTGAGCACTGGTGGTCCAAGTTAGGATCCCCTCAGAGAAGAGGTTGGTAGCTATGATCACTATCCCTGTGACTTCTTACCTTAAAAATGTATCCGTTCAATAAATTGTTTGATTCATTGACTGATGCCTTTGTATAGACTTTCTCCCTGGCTTGGAATGTCCTTCCTATTCTCCTTGCTTCCTAGAATCCGTAGCTCCCTTCAAAGCCGAGCTTTAATGCCACATGAGGCCTTTTCTGATCCCCTCAGGCTCTAGTGCCCCCCCATTACCTTGTATGTATTTCTTATCTCCCTATATGTGTACATGTTATTACCTCCTATAGAATATAAACTTTGGGAAACTTAATCTGCTGTTTTGGGAAACTTAGCAGCTGTCTGTTGTTGCTGTTAAGGTAGAAATAGGTAAGAAATGACCATGAGCTGTCCATAGTCTTCTCAGTGAGGTACCAATGAGCATTTCCATACCCTTCATGGGAAAATGTTTTTCAGAGTCCCAATCCAAAGCTCACTGCCCTATAAACTCATCAAAAGGAACTTTAGCTCCTTTAGCCGAGCTTCTACACATCTATTAAGGAATCTTGTATGTTCTTAACTTGTGCATGGATGATACCTGGTTGGAATGAAAGCTGAATGAATATGTGAACCAAGCACTATGTCTTGCTTTGTTTTCCCCGTTCTTCTAAACATCATCTTCGTATTTTTTTTTTGTATTTTTATTGATAACCCCCCCCCAACCATTGTATCTTTGAAATATAACTATAGTAATTAAAATAAGAAGGTAAGTTCATTAGAACGGAATACCTCCTGCTGACTACTGGTTGGTAACTTGAAGGAGCATGTTCTCTGTAGACTTGGACAGGAGAGTCTACCCTTTTAACTCAGGAGTGTTTAGTTCAGTGGTCTTCCACCTTAAGAAATTGAGAGTTAAGACCTGTTCACATCAGCCATATTGATTTACGGGATTAATCATTTTGTACATTAAGCTAGATTTTTGAAATGTGTATGTCTTAAGAAGTAAGGACTTTCTATACTAAAAGTTTTCTTGATAGGTTAAAGTTTTATCCTGGCCTTAAATGGCTTATAGACATGTAGTTGAGAAATATTGATTTAGATTACTAGGTCATAGCTTTTTATCATAACCCAAATTAATGCCATGATCTTGGTCAGTTTGAAATGCAGGTAACAAAGTCCATATGGCATAGGAGAAATAATTTGTACAAGGGAATTGGATAACATCATTTGCTTTATTGCTAGTATGATTCTGGCTCATGTTAAGCCAATTTGATTACATATGTATATATATATATATATATATAACATGTATATATATATACACACACACACATCCACATATATACATATGTATGTACGTATGTATGGGGGAGGGAGGAGGGGTAAGAATTATAAACCAGCAGTGTCATTGTTACCATAGGCTGAAAAGTGACTTGTACATTCTGAGTTGTGGGATCTGGTGACCAAACACTGACTTTCTTTCTTTGTTTCTCTCTCTTTCTTTTCTTCCTCCCTCACTCTCTTCCTTCCTCCTTCCTTCCTTCTTGCTTAAAATTCCTGTTTCTATATTTTGATTGGCTCCCAGATGTATATTGTAAATTTCTGTGTCTGTTTTCACAATAATTAATGTTAGCTATGAATTTCATTAGCTTTTAATAAGTATTTCAGTTCTCTTTTAGGCCTTTCAAATCCCAAAGCCTGATTGCTGTTCAGTTTATGATCCCTGGAACAATAGTGTCAAACTCAAATAGAAATGGGGGCCACTGAACTGTACAGAAGGATCCCTGCAGGCCACATTTTGACTTAGAAAATCACATATTAACATTTTCTATGTTCTGTTGTATTTTTATTTATTTTGTTAAATATTTCCCAAAGACTTTTTTTTTTTGCCTTTTTGGTGAGGCAGTTGGGGTCAAGTGACTTGCCCAGGGTCACACAGCAAGTAAGTGTCATGTGTCTGAGGTCGGATTTGAACTCAATTCCTCCTGACTCCAAGGCTGGAGCTCTATACACTGAGCCACCTAGCTGCCTCCCAAAGACATTTTCATCTGATTCAGATTGCACTTGAGAATGTTGAGGGCCATGCAGCCCAAGTATGTTTGTCTCAGAGAAAAGGCTGGAAGCCAAGATTATAGACCTTTCACTTCTTACCTTAAAAATTTCTCTCTTCACTTTCAATTGAAGTAGTGTGCTGGGTTTTTAATCCTCTAACCGATAAACATGAGTTTAAAAAGCTATTCTGAATTTAACATACTCTAGATGAAACTCTGGGCATATTTTGTTTGTACAGTACAGAGGTTGTTTGCACGTCTTTTCTGTTAGACTGAGCTCCTTGAGAGCAGACCGAGTTTCTTGTTGGTATTGTTTTCTTTGCTTTTCCCTTCTCTGAATTTCCAGCTCTTAGTACCAACCCTACTTAGCACATAGTAAGTGCTTAATAAGTGCTTGTTGATTAGAATAGAAAAAGAGGATTATACATATAACTGTGAATCCCTATTATATGTTTTATATATACAGCTTGCTTTTCTTTTAAAATGTATAATAAACTCACCATGTAATTTTCAAAGCTGTTCAGCTCCTCTGTGATTCTTTCTAACCTTCCTTCATATCTTTTCTGTTCCAGCTAAAATGTTAATGGATGTCAGTCAGTCAGCTAACATTTATTAAACCCTGCTGTGTGCCATGCATTCTGCTAGGTGCTAGGTAGAAAAAGTAAGGCAAAAAACAGTTCTTGCTCTCAGGAGCTCTGTTTAATGACTGATAATATGCAAATAACTATGTTTAAACAAGTCAGATAATAATCATTTATTAAACACTTACTATTTGTCAGGCACTGTGCTAAGGACTGGGGATACAAATGTGAAAAACAAACCTACAATCTAATCTGGGAACATAACATACAAAAAAAAACTGGAAAGGTGTATGGGGTGGGGAAGGTAGTGGATTAAGGGAAGGGATGGACGTGGTTGAGAAGCCATAGAACGCCAAAAAGAGTGTAGCCAGGTTCATATCTGAGAAGGTTATGAAGGATTTTAAAAACCAGAGGATTTTATATATGATACTGGAGATAATAGAGAGCCACTGCAGTTATGGGGGGGGGGGGGGAATGGAGGAATATGGTTAAACCTGTGCTTTAAGATCAGTTTGACAGCTTAAGGAAGGATAAACTGAAGTGGGGCTAGACTTGAAGCAGGGAGACCAACCAGCAGGATATTGCGATAGTGTCTAGGCATGAAGTAATGAGAGCTTGATCAGGGCAGTTGCAGTGTCAGAGGAGAGAAAGGAATGTATGAGAGAGATGTTGTGAAGGTAAAATTGAAAGGATTTGGCAACAGATTGAGGAGTCAAGGATGACACCTAAGTTTCCAACCTGGGTGATTGGGAGGTGGGTGGTACCCTAGGATAGCAATAGGGAAGTTAGAGAGAGGGGAAGGTTTGGGGGTAAAGATGATGGGGGTAAAGTTTTGTCTATGTTGAGTTTAAGATGTCTACAGGATGTCTTCCAGGAGGTTTGGAGAGATGTTGGGGCTGGACTTGTAGATCTGTAAGTCACCTGCATAGAAATAATAATTGAAAGCATGGAAGCTCATGAGATTCACGGGGTGAAATAGTGTAGAAGAAGAAGAAAAGAGGACCCAACTCACTGATATGAAAACCTAAAGAGAGTATCAAGGAGAAGAGGGTGATTGACAGTGGCAAAGGCTTCAGAGTTCAAGAACTAGGATTGAGAAAAGGCCATAAGAGTCTGTGCAGGTCAGCATTGCTGTAACCAAAAGAATTTCAATCGTGGGAATCCTAGGTAACTAGGTAGATCGGTGGAAAAGTTTTGTTTTTGGATTTTTTTTTTTTGGGTGGAGACAAAGTGGAGCTGAGAAGTACTTTAAATAGAGCCCTTCATAAAGCCTATCCTACAAAAGGGGGATGGGAAAATCGGGAGTTTCTAAGGGGGGGGCAAATAAAAAAAAAAACCAAGAAGTGGCAGAACTATTCTGGCAAACACTAGAAAAAAGCAAGCATTTTCAGAAGGCGATTCTGGTTTTGTCCCCGATGCTCCAGGTATTCATACTAACCCTTTGCTTTGTTTTGCTCCTGTGCATTTGATGTTAATTAGGTCCGAGCAGTTAGAACGGGTCCAGGTTAAAAGGTGTCTCACCTTTGGAAACACCCGCATTGTTTATTCATTATAATAATAATATATACATTGTAGCAACAATGCCCTCTATCTTTTTTTTCCCTTACATCTAGGACAGGAAAATAAAACGTTTATTTCTTTTTCTTCTTCATTCAAGGCGTGGTTGGGTGGGATTAATTAAATAAACTCAGGCTTTCTGATGAGGTGTCAAGCAAACACCTTTCCCAGAGACCTCAGCCAGCTGGAGACCTGGGATGCAGGGGAGGGTTTCGCGACGAGCCCACCCGACTGGGAAGCCTTCCTCTATGCGAATAAACTGATAAGATTTTCTTCTGGATTGGAGCAGCTGTATTGCGATGACCTCTGGCTGAGATGTAAACTAGGTTGGGGCGGGTGGTGGGACAGGACGGCTCTCGGCTCATCTGATAAAGCCAGCCTAGCTGGAAGGTTCAAAAAGACCTAGAAGAGGAGGAGGAGGAAGAGGAGGAGGAGGAGAAGGAGGGGCAGGAGTAGGAGCAGGAGCAGCAGCAAGAGCAGCAGCACCAACAGCAGAAGCTGCAGCAGCAGCGGTAGAACAATAACACCCAATTAACACCAAGTGGTGGCTGAGAGAATAGGACGAATCCAGACTGGGAGAGAGGCAGTCGGGCAACCAGGCAAGCAAGCAATCCAGCAGTCAGGCGGGCAGGAAGGAAGGGACTGGCTGGAGCCATGGCCGGAGACAGTGATCAGACCCTTCAGAACCACCAGCAAACCAACGGAGGGGAGCCTTTCCTGATTGGCGTCAGCGGGGGCACAGCCAGCGGCAAAGTAAGGGGATTCTCGTGGTTTTTTTTCCCCCTCCACGTTTTCAGCCCCTTCTTAAGACCCCTTTGGCCTGGCTTCCCCTCCCCCAGAGGGCGCGTGTGGCTGGGGGAGGGGAGCTGTGCTGTGTCAGTTGCAGCAGGGACCGCGTGGCTCTTCGGAACGCGGTGTATCTGTTTCCCGGCCACGTTCCAAAAGACATACTTTGGCTACCATTTGCGTCGGAAGCTCTCTTTTGCGCCCCCGTGTCGGGGTGATTTGTGAAGATTCGGAAAAAGACCCTTGTGAAAGGCTGTAGGCGGTACTGGGGCCACTGAGCACATGCCCATTTTCCTAAAGGCGGTAACTCTCGACCAGGGTCGTTCTTTTTGGGGACGTTGTTGAAATGGACACTATGTGTAGGTTTATATGGTTTTGGAAAGCCGATGTCGGTGAGGGATCTCCAGGGCAGATCTTTTTTTGCGCCCCCCACACATTCCTTTTCTCCGGGCCTTGCGTTAATCCGCGCGCCAGAGCTGTGCAGCCCTGATGCCATGGGTGGAGTGAGGCAGGAAGCTAGCCTGGGAAAGCTGCTGTGGTGGCGGGAATGGGGGGGGGGGCAGGGGAGTAAGCAGGTTTGGCTTTTTATCTGGGTGGGATTGCAGATTTTGAGGTAAAATACCAATGGAGCCAGATGTGTGCGCGCCCGTGTACAGTGGCAGATGAAAAATTATATTTAGTGGTGCAGGTTTTTTTCCCTCTCATTAATATTCCTAATTTCAGGAGGAAACGTGGTGGCTCCATCCATTCGCTGGTCTATTTTGTCCGGCAGATGATCTCGTTTATCTCACTGTGGTCGTATTAGGAGGTCATCGCTTACATACGTTTCTTAAATCCCCGCGAAAAGGCAGCAGCTGGCTTTGTTTTATCCAAAAGGTCTGAGACTTATGGGAAACAGCAATTCCCCAGCCGTGGCCACCAGGTTGCGTGTCCTGCAGGTGGAGACGAGTGGTTAGTTTACAGATCCACTTAGTTTGTACACCTATCTTATAAGATGTGGTTACTGGTTTCCCCCACAATTTTTAACTACCTCTCAACTTCGGTTGCAGCAATGGAACCCCAAGCTGGAGCCTCTTCCATGTGTGTGCGGTATTCTAGTTTGGGTTGGGGCTGGACCGCGGACTCTGGTTGGCGCCATGTGCTGTGAGCAATGAGAATGTCACTTCTTGGTATGCTTCACCAGCAACCCCTCCTCCCTCCATTTTGGTCTTTCATTTTTCCTTCCAAACGTGGAGACAGATTTTTTTGGATTTTGGGCTCCTAGGCATGGAAGCGTTTGCTATAGAAGAGCTGGGGGGATGGGGGGGGGATTTCTGCTAGTTTCTGCTCTTCCCCAAGGCTGCATTTATTGCAGCCACCCCTTAAGCCAGTCCTGAGGCCCAGCCTCACTAGGTTGAAGGGAACGCTTGTACTCCCTTTTCACTGGGGATTTTAGAATTATACACAGCCAGACCTAGAAAGGGTCCTTAGAGATCCTCCAGTCCAACTTCTACATTTTACGGATTGAGGAAATTAAGATTCGGATTGGGGGGAATGACCCTTTTTTCTTTGTTCTGAATCTTCCCCACAAATTTAGTTTTGCTTTTGTGACAGATGATTCGTCCTGGTATAGTGGAAGTGCTGTGTAAAAAGCACCTAGACTTGATGTCAAGCAACTGGTCTGGAGAATCCTGGCTCCAATAGTTATTTCACCTCTCAGCCTCAGTTTTCTTATCTGTAAAATGGGCTAATGATGTGCGTTACCTCCCTCCGAAGGCAATAGTGAGGGAAAACACTTTTTAAATTAACTTTTATTACTATATAATATAGAAGTGAGAATTTGTTATCATTAGAATATAGTTTCCAATTTTTATTTTAATTTTTAGAGTTGTAATGGGGAAAGTATCCTAAAATAATCCACCAAGAGAATGCATGCAAAGCTAGAGGCAGGAACTGTCTTTGTTAAAAGTGCATAGCGTATTCTGGGTGCTTTTTAGTGATTAATACTAATTCAGGAGCTGAAGATGAGGATTTTTATAATGTTTTTATAGGTTTATCTAGTATTTCTTAATTACATTGTATTTTTAATTCCTAGTTTATATTTATTTTTACCTTAGAAACTTTCTGCCAGGGAATTCAAAGATGTTTATGTAATATGAATCCTTTGAATCATGTAGTTGGAAGGACATGAAATGGATCTGATGGATCTTACTTGAACTGGGAGGAGTAAGGAAAAGTTTGGAAGATAGGCTTCTGGAAGAAAGAAGTCCAAATTGGCACCTTGGTATAGCTGTATAATTTAGAAGAATAAAGAAGAATGAAAGCACCACTCAGAGGGTCTGGTCGAAGTTCTGGCTGTTGGGGGTTGTTTGAGAAAGCCTTTGTTAGGCTCCTCTTGTGTGTGGAGCACTGTGCTAGGCCCTGGGGGAGAGGGAAAGTTTGTGTCATATAATCAGATGGTCAGTGGAATAAGATATAAACCCAGGTAATTATGATAATATTCCATGCTTGTTTTGAGCTCTGGAAAAGTGAGAGGTTACCATGTAAGAAGAGAGATTTGAGTAAAACGAAGTGCTGTATGAGGCCTGAGATGGGGTGGGGTGTGGGGAGGAGGTACCTGTATGGGGAAAGAGTGAAGGAGGGAGTGGGAGCATTGGGGAAGGCTGAACCTCATTCTGGCTTCCCTGGAGGAGGTACGAGGGTAAGGAGTTCTAGCTGAGTAGAGAGGGAGGGAGCCTATTTCAGGCACAGAACTGGGCTGTGGGGAAGCTTCGGCTCTAAAAAAGACTAGGTGAACTATGGAGTTTCGAGTTCCAAGGAAAGTTGCTACTATTAGAAAGAGTCTGCTTTGCAACACTGTGGCACTGTTTTATTGGTTCTTATCCTTATCTAGGCCCCACAGTGAATGGACTTGGCCTTTTCATGCTTGTGGCCTGTCTCCCTGTTGGGACTGCCTTTGGTGCAAGTTATTTTCTCAGAGGAAACTGTTTTGGACTGTGGAGGCAAAAGTAGTGATTTGTGGTTCCCATGGCCTTTTTCCTTCCTCCAGATTCCCCCCTTATTTTATAAATTAATGAGTTAGAATCCCAAAATGACTGTCAACAGATAACATCACTGTTCAAAAATTTGTGAGAAAGTTATGTAACTTTGAAAGTGACCAGAATTTAGTTCGGGAAGGTTTTATTAAAAGCCTACTATGTGCCACATATTTGGAGATAAATCATTTTCTATAAGAGTAGAAACTCAGTTTAAGGTTTATGAAGTATTTTCCTCAACATCCTAATGAAGTCGTTGATACTAGCTAACTATTTTACTTCAGTAGGTGTCTCTTAAAAAGAGTTGGTATTTCTAGAATGTTTACAAAGTATTTTATGTATCTTTTGTGACCTATAAATAACCCTGTAAGGTAGGTAGTAGCAGGTATTGTGCCCATTTTGCAGATGGGGAAATTAAGCCACAGAGAAATGGACTAACTTGCTTATACTCATAATTTTCAGTAGCAAAGACAAAATTAAAAACTAAATTTCTTGGGTTGTATTGCTACTCCTGTTCTTGTGAAACCCTAACTCAGGATTACTAGATTACATCAGTCTCCTAAGTTCCTACTTGTGTGATGTTGCAGAGAACTAGAGGAAATCATAAAATCAAGCTGAGTCCACTACAGATTTGTATTATCTAACTTCAGCTGGGCCATCACTACTGCTAAGTAGTTCTGCTTTTCCATTATTGATTCTCTAATCACCACAATAGCTGTTCTAAACCTCTTCTAGATACACCTCACACTTCACTTAGAAAATAGAGCCCATTCACTGTGAGTTCTCCATTCTCCTCTTCTCATCTCACATCTGACCCCACGGTTTCCTTTTTTATTCTAGCCTTAGAAGAGTTGACCTTTCTTCTCACCAGGCCAACCTGTTTACAGGTGGCCTTGACCCCTCCCCACCATCTTCTCCAGGCAGATTGACCCCAATGTCAAATATTCACTCTCTCCCTGTTTTCTTTCCTTGCTACCTACAAACATGTCCAAGCCTCCTTATCATTAAAAAACTTCTGCAGATCCTGCCATCCCTGCTAGGTAGGGTCCTCCAACTTTCTTCCCCCTTCTCAACTAAACTTGAAAAAGTTATCTACATGTGGTTTATCCACTTCCTGTCCTCTCTTTTTAAAAATTCTTTGAAGTCTGTCATTCAAATGAAACTTCACTCCAGAGTCACCAATGATATCTTAATTACCTTAGGTCCTTTAATCAGTTTTCATCCTGCTTGACTTCTCAGGATTTGCCACTGCTGATCTGATAATCTCTCCCATAAGTTTTTGTGACACTGCTCTTTTTGATTCTCCAGTTTAACTATGATTTCTCTTAAATCTACATTTCTGGATCTTTACATCACAGTCTCTTAAGTGGTAAGGATCCCTCAAGATGCTTGCTTTAGGTACTCCTTTCTCTCTATACTGTCTCACTTGGTAAATTCATCAGATGCCATGAGTTAAATTATTGTCTCTGTAGATGATTCCCGTATCTATAGATCCAACCCTTCTTCCCGGGCTCCAGCCCTAACTGGATTTCAATGGACATCTCAAACTAAACTACTCAGTCTGTCAATGAACAAACATTTATTTACAAAGTGCCTATTGAGTGCTAGATAAAGTGCTAAGTGCTAGGGATACAAAAAGGGGCAAAAAGACTGCCCTCCAGGAGCTCACAATCTAATGGGAGAGACTAAAGGACTATATACAGGATAAATTGGAAATGAATGTGGGAAGGCACTACGAGAATTAAGATGGGTTGGGAAAGGCTAGAAAATGGGATTTTAGTTGGGGCTTGAAGGAAGCCAGTAGGCCTAGATGAGTGGGAGAGCATTCCAGTTTTGGGGAACAGCCAGTGAAAACGCAAGAGCTGAGAGATGCAGTATCTTGTTTAAGGAAGAGCAGGGAAGCCAGTGTCACTGGATTCCAGATTATGTGGAGGGTGTATGAAGTGTAAAGAC